AAAAATAAAAAAATTTTCCCTGCGCCAGGATTTGAACCTGGGTACTCAGGCTTACCACGCGAGTGCATTGCTCTGTCGGCGATTGTGACTTCTGGAGCGTCGCGAGCAAAAGGCACACTTATGCTTTTCACGGGGCATGAATTGGCAGACTATCTCATCAACTGGTATGATGCTACTAGTATTTCTACTAGTAGATGCTGATGCATAGCCTGACAATTGACATCTCGTAGGACATCGCAATGTTAAAAATACCAGTCGCTAACATTGAAAAAGGATAGAACGTGAACTAGTTGGGCTGAAAAGCAAACTGGTCGAATTCTAGTTCACAACTAGTAGCTTTCCCTGCAGGGATGGAACTAAAAAATGGTTTATTGATTAATTTAGATCAGAATAGATCTTCATTCGTGTACATATGCGGCTAAATTGGCTATTTGTCCGTTTTTGGCCTCTAATATATGTAAATCGGTAAGCACCAACATTAAAATGTTTTCAAAAACATCTAACAATGTTTATAAGAACTTTTCTACAAAAGAAAACATAATAATAATAATTCTGTATCAGTGACAAAAATTTTTTTTACTGACAAATTTGCTAGCATTAGTTTGGATAATTTAATGAAAACGAATTTCAATAGCATTATATTTTTTTAGAATTAATGCATTGAAATTTTTATTTGCAAGAAATTTCAAAAATTAATTTATTGATTTTTTACCTTAACATTATTGCTTTAAGTATCATTAATGCATTAAAAAACGAATGCATTTGTCGCAACTCTGGTTTGGAGGCGTCGATATGTACATTAGACTGCATCAGTGTTACCACTGAAAAATTTTCGAAAGTCGCAAAAAAAGTGTCACAGCCGAAAAAAATTGTCTTGAAGTAATTCAAATCTTTTATACCACGTATATAAAGAGTTTCATAATTTTACCTCTCGAAACTTATTGGGGCACATTCATAGTCGAAATAAAATCGACTTTTAGGCTAGTTATATTTTTTGACATAATTTTCAATGGAAAATCTGTCAAAAAAGCTGCACCTAACATTAGACTCGACTTTATTTCATCTACGATCATGTCCCATAATTTTTAATAAGTTGCTAATGGGGATCATTTTCTGTCAAAAATACTTTTTTCTATAAAAATAAAAACCGATTGATGAGGGATATATTAAAAATACGCAATATGCATATTTTGCATTTATTATGAAAACAAAATTGCAGTTAAAAAGGTACTTACATCAATATAAGACAAAAGCAACATTAGTGATAGCAATTATTACTACAAAGTTAAGCCTTTTAAGCTTGTATGTAAGAAAATGGATGTAACTCAAATAACTTGGGGAAATGCTAAGCTCCAAATAATAATAATGGCATAATAAAAAGATTGAAGTCAGTTAAAATCTTGCAAGAGATATAATTTTTAAGCGCCTTTGAAAAGTAATATTTTATTAAAAAATTGTCAAAATGTGTATATATATTTTCAAATCAAAGAAAAAGGGCAAAAGTCGCATGATTTTTAAGAAAATTTTCAAAATAAGCCTATTTCTAAAAAGTCGGTGTCAGGGGGCATCGATCTCCAAAAGGTGTCAATTTGACACTTTAGTCGCACAACCTTCGTAACACTGGACTGCATAACCAAAAAAGTTGCAGTTTTTCCGGCGGGATTACAAAATTTATTATATTTGTAGACTTCCGCAAAGTGTAAATCTTAATATTTTTCTTATTATTTTAATGCAAGTCTTAAAATATAATAGATTTTATAATTCCAATGCAAAAACAGCACCGATTTTTGGGTACAGATGGCAGTCAGATTTCTTCTCCATCACCATCTTCTTTAACTGTAAAAATACTAGGACTGTTTTATTTTGCTTGCGTAGCTTGCGCATATTCAACAGTTTTTTGCCTCTCCTGAACATTTAGGATTTTTTGAGTTGTCACTGTTTGGGATTCAGGGAGAGATATACTAAAATTTGCATAGCAACATCGTATTTCTGTATTTCATACCTTTCAGAGTTCTTTGCTTTTTAAACTTGTCCACGTTTGAGTTTACAATTGGTTCTGTTGTCCGTAAGACCCTTGAAGCTGGGTATACACTTCAACCCTAATTGCTTACACATATCGCCGTTTAAAGTACAAAACCGCGTATCAACAAAATGCAAAACCGCATATGTGAGGTTGCATAAATTATTTTTTAGAGAGTAAAAACACTGATATTTCAAAATGGTTTCCTTTTTTATAAAGCAATCGTATTTCTGATATTTCAGGACGAATGGATAAGGATTCAGCCCTGAGCTTGTGTGAGCAAATCCAATTTTTTGCAGCAAATGTCATTCAGCGGTTTTGAAGAATTACGATACTCAGTTTTGTACTTTAAACGACGCCATATGTACATACATATTTACATGCATACATCTGTGCAAGTGATTGACAATTTTAAAATTTCGCGCGAACTAAAACTTCGCTGCGAAATATCTGAAAGCGAGCTAATAGAAAATGTAAAACAACGAATTTTTCGTAAAATTCCTAATAAAAGACTTTTGCATTAATAAACAGAAAAGTAAATTTTCAAACATTTCGCTACTTACGATTTCTAATCCTTTTTTCAATATGCCATATAGTGGCACCCAAACTTTGGTTTGAGTGAATGCACTCTTATAGCCCTGGAGAATTTCAATTAATTCCATAAACAGTTTGCGACTATGGAATTCTTTTGGTGGTCCATCGCGATATAATAGCAACGTAGGATTTGTTAAAATGACCAGCAAACGCACAAGAGCATCTGCATATTCATTATTTTGTACATAATCATGCAGCATATGCACCAAATCTGTTTGTAGCACTTTTGCATGGCCCAAGTGACGGCGATATTCGTGATTTTCTAAATCGCGTCGCAAAATCCAAATTAAATGCTGTAGTCAAATATGAAAAAGAAATAGTGACAAAACGAATAATAGTAAGTTATGTATGTACATATGTATAAGCAAAACATACCCTTAGGCCCTGCAGTGCGTCCGGCTCGGCCAGGTAGCGATCATTGTCGTGGTAGCCAAGCGCCGCGCAAGTGGCATCGATATCCGCGAGTAAAATAGACATTACTGTACAAACGAACGTCGAATTTTCACTTTCTTTACACAAATTAGAATTTTGTTTAAATGAATTAACACTTTTTCCTACACCGCAAAACCGTTTCCGTATCAAACACACAAATTTCACAATTGTTTTGGTTGATGTAAACAAAATTAAATCCGCACATGAACTGTCATATGGGCGCGCCAATTTTGCGATCTGAGCGAACAGCTGATGGTGCTGAGCTGCCACTTGTTGAATGTGTGGTATTTACTTGTGTTGAGGAATTTCAGAGGCTTTAGTGAACGACGCACATTTTGTAATCGAATTTTACCAAAGGTCATTGATAATACGGGACAACTCATTATAATTAGAGCGAAAGTGCGCAACGGGGGAATTAATCTGTCTAATCATGATTCAATAATGAAAAATTTTATAAGAAAAACTTTCTCTCACTCTAATTTTATCAATGACACTCCCCTCTACTCCTAAAAAGAATAACAGTAATTTTTTTTTCGAATTTCTTTGCAACTTTTAAGAACATTTTTAAATTTTAAGTAGTGAAATTTTTACTTCTAAAATTTTAAGAAATTTCTGGTATTCATTCGTTGACGACAACAAGACAAAATGGGTGATCATTGTTGGATTACAGAAATTCAGAAATGGCTAAAAAGACGAAATTCCCTTAAGGGCCGGCTGGTCAATGTCCGATTAGCACTAATCGGAGATAGAAGCTCCGGTTAAATATAACGACTGCTCTATCGATCACATGTTTTATGCATGATGTCGAAAACGTCGATAACGATGTTTAACCGGCTAGTAGTGATAACCAGACATCGAACTACTGGCTCGAAATGCCAAAATATATTGGTTGACATTCGTGGAGACCTATTGAATCTGCAATCATAACACCCGCGATACAAAATACATGTGGTTGTTGTTGTTGGGCCCTTATAACCCAGTTATGCATACTTGCACTGCTATACCATTCTTACGTAAAAATCGAAACCCAACAGAATTCTACATGTTAAGTGCTATGCGTTGGGTAAAGTTAAGTGCAACGACTGCTTTATCGATCACATGTTACATTCATGATGTCGAAATCGTCGATAGTGTAGTGTTAGTAATAACCAGACATTCAACAACCGACCCCTGCCTATGCCTGCTTGGCAGTGCATGTACTGCTAGACAATTTTTACGTAGAAATCAAAAACCAACAGACTTCTACGTATGTAATGCAGTGCGTTGGGTAACCCCTTACACGCGAAGCTCATTTAACAGATTCCTTATGTGACAATTCTCAAGCAATGCCAAGTATGCATAACGGAGCCTTAACAGATTATTATGCGACAACTCTCATGCAAATCTATGTAAGTATGCATAAATGGGCTATTAGGGCCGTTTGCAGTGAAACATCGTTATCGACACCCAGCGTATAACATGTGATCGATAAAGCAGTCGCTGCGGTTAGCTGAAGAATGTACATTAGGGTGGTCCAAAAACAGTAATGTCGGAATTGCAATGCTATCACCCCCTAGGATTGTTCTATATCGATAAAAGTATACCCCTAGTTTTTAATTTTGAAATCAAAAAATATTTAGAGTTTGCTCAGAGCACTTAAAGTGTTCCATGTATTTTTATATGGGGAAAATCAATTTTTTCGTAGAAATGGTATATAATTCTTGGATGTCAATATTTTTCGATCGAAAAACTCTGGTTCTCTTCAGGAGACTTTCAATAATAATACCAAATTGTTTATTTATCCATTTTTTAATACCTACTAACGATTTTTTATTTGTCGCTTATTGCATTTTTCGGAATTTCTGTGGGGTTTTGGCGGACCTATAAATTATAGTTGTAATGAAAAAATTGTCACAAACAATTGGGTACTATTATTGGGAATCTTCTGCTGATAAACAGAATTTTCTGGTAAAAAATATAAATTTTTTACTATTCTATACCATTTCTACGAAAAGTCGTTTTTTCCCCATATAAAATACATGGAAAACTTTCGGTGCTTTGAGCGACCTATAAGTATTTTAATGAAAAACGAAGGGTATATTTTTCGGTATAANGGGGGGGATGTAATGTACATCCAGTTAGCGTTGACTAGATATGGTGCAAACGGCCCTTAATCTGCTCTTAAATCGCCAATAATTGCTGCTCTTTTATGACTCGTTATAATAGGGGTTAAGGGGTTTAAATGATCCACGAAAACTCTTTTACCTTAGACCTCCGAAGACAGTCGATATACCACCCTGATAATTATTATTTGCGTATCTGAAAACAATAAATTTATACCTACTCACTTTATTATTCACTTGCAGGTTAACCCTTCTCGTATGAAAGATTATTTCTTTAAATTGAAATAAAATTAAAGCAACAATTATTTGTATCATTTTTCTTTAGGGATTTGTATTCTTCTGTTTGGCGAACCAAAGCAAAATTCATTTACATACATATACCAAGGGTATTTAGATGAAATATATTTTTAACTAGTGGCATTTGCAATTTCAGGCCTAATAGCTCTCTTAAATGTTTAAACGTATGTGTCTGGAATATACATTTGTATGTACATTAAGGTGGTCCTTAAAAAACCAAATGAATGATTTTTTTCAGTCTCACCTTCTCAATCGCAAATACCAGGGTCAAATATGTCACATATAAATGTTGATCCCAATTGGAGACGGTTAAGGGGTGTCGCACAGGGAACAAAGTTTAGATTCCTCTATGGAGACTCAAAAAATTAAAATAAATTTTTTCTCATCTATAAAATTTTTGTTTAGTCTTCAAAGAGGAATCTGAACTTTTGCCCCCCTGAGCGACACGCTTTATCCGTCTCCGAGCGGGACGAAAATTGATATGTATGTGGTTTTGCATCGAGGATAGGAAACAATTTTTGGAAGAAACGAAATCACCACTATTGATTTTATGTTATTGAACAGTCCACACAACAGGGGGCACACACATACATACATAATTACATGTGTATACTTGGATGTTTTATAACAAAAATCTATTGAGACTATTTCAACAGAAATGTTGCTGGTGCGTATAAAATTTGAGAGAAAGTAAAACTGCATAGCAACGTTAAAAATGCAATTTCGTACAAAACACACAAGGAAGTGACATGTGCACATATGTATATATGTACATACAATTATTCTAGTTATAAGCATCCACTATTCGAGGCAGCAATTCTGACTTCGTACGCTTCATATGTAGGTTAACAATAAATGGTTGCATATGCAACTTGACGCATGCAACATGACGACCACTCCCAAGTGACCAACAACTGCATTGAATGGCTGCTCGTTCAAGATGTCGCTGGCTTGGATTGTAATTTTAACCACAACTTATTGTATTATTTGCACTTATGCACTACTCGTAAGTTCACTTATGTGCTTATAAGTGTAATGCCGTTGTGAATTGCTTTCAAATGATCTTGTGACTTCTGCTGTCACATTGAAATTTTGCATTCATTATACAAGTATGTATGCTGTTAGATCTGGTTCAACAATTCCTATTGTATGTTAGTAGTTATTATTTAAATATTTTTTATTTTTTTTAATTCATTGATGTTAAATGTGTGCAGACCAGGAAAAAACCAAGCACTCAGAATATAAGGTGTACTCTTCCTCAAAGTTACTCCTTAATGAATCTCTGAAATCTGTTGAGAGATAGAGATCCATTCTCAAAAGATTTGAACCAAAAATTAGACACCTTAGCCAGAAAGGTGCTCTGCAGTTATTAATAGACTGCGGAAGTTTATGCAGAAAGCGAAGCCTAAAAATATGCACCACTTTACTATAAGCCAAATAAGTAAATTCGGATATTTTTTTGTTTATAGTTATGGGGTACATAGTTTTAGGCTTTGGGTTCTGAATAAAATTAAAATTTTCAAATTTAATCCCTTAACTATGGTAATATTCCCACTTTCCGAAGAATAAATGCACATACTGTAAAAATTTTAAATTTTAATTTGAATCATATTTCAAATTAACTACGTATCTTTTTATAGTCGCCTTCGATTCGCTACTTTTCTTCTCGCTATGTTTGAGTTCCACTTGCTCAACGAAAAGTTTCCCAAGTGAAAGCAACAACAAAGTTAGCTAACAAAGATGGACGATAGCGAGTTTGGTTGTATTTAATTAATATCGTTCGTTTCGCCATTCGCCAGGTATTCGCGAATCGATGACAGCTTAGGAATCATTAGAATTTCGGCGTTTGGAGCCACGGCTTCAGAATTGAAAAAAAAATCCATTTGAGTCCAACATGACGCAGTTTACTAAGGTTTAAGGCCCTTGAGTAGTGATCTCTGTTTATAATTAATAGTTTTTGAAAGTTTTCGGAATACGTACTCAGTACGTCACTTTGAATTCTTAAAACCTAAAATCGTTTTCATAATCTTCAATCTCAAAAACCTCTAAGAAGCGAATTTCAAACGTATTCACTGGTGTCATAAGTTTGTTAGACGTCATATTGACCCACGAACACCCACGAAGCAAATTTTAAGAAAATTCAAAAAATTAAAAAAAAAAAAATCCACCATATTGGATGCACTATTTTGAATTTTTTTAAATTTAATGCCAGCTCCTTTATCAGCGAACCCAATAACACCTGAGTAACAAGTTTTAAGCTAATCCGACCGATGTTCAAAATATCGTTTGCCATTTTGAATTTTTACAATCTCACTCCAGATTCGTAATCAGCGACCCCAAGAACCTTCGTGAGATAAGTTTCAAGCCAATCTGATAAGTTTTTGAATTTTGGCCAGTTTTAATCCCTTCGTGACCCATATTTAGTGGAATGCGGGAAATGTATAGAGCTAGAAGCTGAGAAAACTTTGGAACATCGCGAAAGGTTATGTGTCGGACTGCAACACCTAGGAACCGCTTAGCTTGAGAAACAGCAACCCCTCTGAAAAATGAGGCATCAGCTCGCATTGAGTTCTCTAAAGGCCTTCGTCATACATAGTTATTATATTTGGCTATATAATGGCTACCATGAATCTATTTAAGGTTCAAGCATCATCGGATACTACTAAAGACCAACGGATTTACATATGATGTTCAGCCATACTAAACCAAACTAACCTACAATGGGTAAAATTAGAGTTTTATTATATTTTAAAGTTCGGCCTACTTAGTCAGCGCATTCAAATGAGCAAATGTGAAATAAAAAAATGCATCCACTTC